GGGGGTGCCGGGAGTATTTTTCTGGGGGGGGGGGGGGAGCCAGACCTGTGGGGACACTGAAGCCACCTGCTTGCCCCATTTTTAGGTGCGGATCAATGTCCCCTCATGGTGTGATCGCATCCTCTGGAAGTCACACCCAGAGACCCATGTGGTCTGTAAATCCTATGGTGAGTGAGACCCCGGGGCTGGGGGAGGGGGGACACCCCAGGGAGGTCAGCACTGCCCAGAACCCTGGGGCTCAGGGACCATCACTGCCCTCTCCCACCACCCAGGCTGCACAGATGACATCGTGACCAGCGACCACTCGCCCGTCTTTGCCACCTTTGAGGTGGGAGTGACGTCGCAGTTTGTGCCCAAGAAGGGTAAGGGGTTTGGGTCTGTCCCCCCTTCCCCGGTTTGGGGTGAGCCCTGGCTGTGGGTGCTCAGCTGGCACACACTGACCTGCTGCCCCCAGCACCTGGGTCTGTCCCAGAGGCCCTGGCCTGCATCGAGTGGGAGAGCATCGAGGTGATCATCAAACCCTCCAGCCGCAGCAAGTGCTACATCGAGTTTCACTCCTACTGCCTGGAGGGTGAGGTGGCCTGGGGGGCCGGGGGTGGGCGAAGGGGGCGAGCTGGCCCCACTGGAGCTGTGTCCCTGCTGTCCCTTGGCAGAGGCCCAGTGGAGCGGGGAGAACACCTCCCAGAGCTGCGACAGCCCTGGCTTCCTCAAGCTGGGCTGGGCTGCCAAGAACCTGCCGGTGGTACGTGCTGGGGAGGGGGCACACGCTGCCCCCCGGCCCTCCAGCATCCTCCTCCCTCCTCTTCCCCATGCCTCCCACCAGCCCTGAGCCCCAGGGGGCACCAGGGGCAGTCACCTTTCCCCCTGGCACTCCCCTCAGCACCCCTCTCTCCACCTACAGCTGAGCCCCATCCTGCCAGACCTGGAGTACCTGGGGGATCAACATCTGCTCCTCAGCGTCAAGGGTGTGGAGAGCTGCGAGTCCTACGGTGCGTAGGGGAGGGTGGCACCTTGTCCCCTGCAGGGCTCAGGTGCAGAGGTTTTGCAGCTGGAACTTGGCAGGAGGGACCCCAGCACCCACCCTGCTCTGGGGTGCTGCTGCATTCGGGGGCTCACCTGCCATGGGAGGGCTGACCTGCCACGGAGGGGCCCATGCTGACATGCAGAGTGCCCACAGGGGAGTGCTGCATCGCCATGAGGCCCATGATCAGCAGCACAGCCCAGCAGTTTGAGACCTTCCTTTTCCACCGTGGAGAGGAGACGGGCTCCATGAGGGGCTGGATGAAGATCCAGGTTCCCAAGGGCCGGCGCAGCACCCGGGAGAGGCTCTATGGTACGTGCCAGCCCCCCTGCCACCCTGGGCAGGGGGCTCGGGGCTCAGCCTGCTTGAGAGCTGCCTCAACTGCGGTGCCCAGTGGGGAGAGACCAGACTTTGGTGCCTTTGCAGAGTGGATCAGCTTCGAGGAGGAGGATGCTGAGCCAGTGGCAGACACCCCAGTGTGCCCCAAGCCACCCCCACAGTGCCTCAGGTAACCCTCACCAGGCTCAGCCCCACCACAAGCCCCAGCCGTGGGGTGATGCTGCAGCTTCTCCTGTGGGGTGATGCTGAGCCCTCCCCCGTGGGGGATGCTGAGCACTCTCCCCTCTGCTTGGCAGGAGCCGGCCCCACAGCCTCCCAGAGCCAGCTGCCAGCTACACCAACCCAGCCTACTTCATCTTCGAGGGGGTTCCCAACACGTGGGTACCAGCCCCCAGTGCTGGTGAAGCCCATGAGAAGCAGGCAGAGAGTCCAGAGCAGGGTCAGCAGCACTGGAGCCCCCTCAGGACACGAGTCCCTTCTCCCTCCGAGGAGGAGCAGTGGGGTGGCCGGTCCCACTGCATGCCAAGGGGTCCATCCCCTGGGCACCCACTGAGCCCCCCCAGCCTGGGCCAGCAGAAGAGACCCAAATCAGCTGTCCTGGCCAGGGACACAGCAGGGCTGGGTGACTGCTCTCTGACAGCACTGCATATGGCCACCTGCCTGAGCCAGCTGGACCAGCTGTCCCCAGAGGGCAGAGGGGACAGCCAGAGGACCCTGCTGCACCAGACCCACAGCACCGTGGAGCTGCCCCCGCGGCCCTGCCGGGAGCTGCCGAGGCCCACACAGGATGCTCACCAGCGTGGCCACCCTGGAGAGGTACCACTGTGGTCCCCACAGGGCTCTGGAGCTCAGCCGAGGGGCTTGGAGAGATCAGGGAGGGGACCTGCTGAGGTCCCATCCCCGTAGCAGTGGTGTCTCTACCTGGTGGAGCCACTGCAGCACGGGGAGTGGGATATGGAGGAAGGTGGAGGAGCAGCACTGCTCCCAGTTCATGTGGGGTGAGGAAGTGATGGTGGGGACTTCATGGTCCTGGTGTGACACTGCTGGCATGTGTTCTTGTTCTTTCCCCAGTGGTCTTGTGACAGGGGTGAGCAGTCCCGTGGTGTCAGCAAGTGCCTGGGTCATCTGGGCTTGCAGCAGGAGGCAAAAGGGCTGCAGGAGCGTGGCTGGGACCACCTGTAGGTCTTCAGGTACCCTCAGGTCCTAGAGCTTGGAAAGGGAGGCACCACACAGGCCAGCTCCTGTGGCCCCAGGGTCCCTGGGAGAGCTGTGTGCCCCAGGTAGGAGGAGAGGTGAGCCCTGGGGTGGGGATATGGCAAGGCAAGGGCAGGAGGACACCAAGTCCCCACATCTCCATGGATGCCCCAGGGCCATGCCAGATCCCCACTCCCTGTTGGTGACTCCCTCAGCACTTTTTCCTCCTTGTCCAACACACAGAGACGTCACGGAGTGGGACCTGCTGGAACCCGGGGTGCTCAGCCCAACCCATCCCCAGCAAGCTTGGTGAGGGCACCACGATGAGCCTGCCATGGAGACCCAACCTCAGACCCAGCACCCAGCCTGGACCACTGCCACCCCAGCACCCATGTGTGCTCACCTGGAGCTCCCAGGATGGGCAGAGAGCTGCTGCTGAGGACCAAGCAGGCAGGCACCCAAGGCTGGACATGCTGGCCACACTCTCTGACCTCACCAGCAAGCAGCTCAGTTGGAAAGGCTCAGGAAGCTCCAGAGGCCATTGTGGGGGACACTGTCTGGGTTTGGCTGCCTGTCTCCATCCTCTCTCCCCAGGAAGAACCAGGCTGAGCCCCACCAGCAAGGAGGGACAGGGCACAGGGGAGATGGGAGGCCACTTGGGAAGTGGGGACTACCTTTGGACCTCTAGGCTCAACCACTCGAGGTGGCCACCCTGCAGCCTGCAAGGGCACGGTGGCACCCGTGGCCAGCCCAGCCCTCGTGCCTTCAGCCTCAGTGCCTGCTCTCGGCTCCCCAGGGTCGGGCCACATTCCCAATGGATTTCTCCTTCAGCTCCCGAGGCTGTAGCACCGGTCGGTCCCCATCCGAGCCGCCCCTTGCTGTCCCCATCCAGAATAAAGTCTCAGGGACACCGGGAGGTGTGTCTGCAGTGCCCGCATGGCAAGGAGGGGCCGTGCTGAGCCGGGCCAGGGTGGGGGCAGCACCGGCTGCTCCCGGGGCGCTGCCCCCCCGCTTTAACTGGGGACCCTGCAACCCCCAACCTTGGAATCCTCTCCCGCACAGGGCGGTGCTGGCTCTGCCTTCCGCGGTCACACAGCTCCCCCCCCGCGATCCCCGGCCCCGCCCCCACCGGCCCC